TCTGATTTTACCCGTAAGGGATAAAACCAGGTAAAACACGAAAAGTCATCTACAAATAAAAGAAAATATCTGAAACCACTAGCAGAAACTACTGGGGCCGGACCCCAAATATCTGTATAAAGTAAATCTAATACAGTTTTGCTAGTAGAATGAACCCTATCTAAAGGAAACCGCGAGGACTTGCCGAGATGGTACGCGGTGCACGATCCCATCTTCTTTGAATTATTACGATCAACCGGGCAGCTTTGTAGAATTTTATTTTGAACGTGACTGTGAGGATGGCCCAACCTGCGGTGCCGCATCACTGGAGTGGTACGAGAACTGAGAAATGCAAACTTTGACCAAGACACTGGAAGTATGTATAGACCACCGGAAGCGGGACCCTTAAGCAAGATTGCCTTGGTTACTGAGTCCTTCACAACAAAACAACTTTTATGAAACTAAAAAAAAACGTTGTTGTCAGAAGTGAAACGCTGAACTGATAATAAAGGCACAGATAAATAGGGCATATGTAATACATTGGACAATTGTAAATGTTTAGACATGGAAGGTATAGATGTTGAACCAACACATGAAATTACCAAACATGTGTCATTACCGACTCGAAGGACGTCGTTGTCGTTGTACTCGTCCGACTACGCTAACATAGCAGCGTCCGGTGTGGCGTGAGCCGAAGCTCCCATATCCTGGAACCAACTAGTCACCGTGCTGGCTGCCTGATCGTCTCCGGGAACGACGAGATCTGCTTGGGCCGACGGCTGTGTGGTGTACCGTTTATAACAATAAACGGCTGTGTGGCCGTTCGCACGGTAGATTTGGCATCTCGGAGAACCGCCACGTCCGCCACGGTTCTGCCCATTCCGACCACCGCGGCCTCGCCCCTGGCCATGAAGGCCACCATTGCCAGCATCTGCATTGTGGTTGTGCCCTCGGCCAGCGTACATTGCGGCAAGAGAGCCACCAGCGTCGGGAATCGTCGTCGGGTAATCATCTGCAAGGATGAACTCCTGTGCCTGCAAAAAATCGGATAATTGTGTGATCGAGACCGGATTCCCTGAGGCCATGAGTGACACAGCCATTTGTCTGTATTCCAGCCGAAGCCCCCGGAATACGAACAAGTTCTGTTCTTCTAATGAATTGAAACTAGGTGACCAGCCAGGGAGAGGTCTTTGATCAGCAGTTGCGCACGTCCTAGAAATTCTGCAGGAGAGCTGTTACGTTGCCGGAGGGTTTGGAACTGCCCAAGAAGGTTTAGGCACCGGGCGCGAGTGGAGGACTCGAGCATCGTGGTGATGGATTGCCATACTTCACGAGATGTATTCCGGCCAACTGCCAGATACATCACCTCATCGGTTAACGAGGATATCAGAAGGGAGAGGATCGACTAATCCTGTTGTACCCAAGCTTTAAACGCCGGATTCACCATGGGAATGGCGGTGGTACCGTCGGACGTGGAGTCGCCGGCGGCCGGAATGCTGTCGACGGTTGACGGCGGGCAGGGGTGTGACACCCCGTAAATCTAAATTCTAATTGGGGTTAATTGGGAAATTAATCCTAGCCTTTCTTGGTAAATTCTCTTTAGAAATCTTGAAATTTAATAGTCGAGGGACTAGAATTTGACTTGTCTCTTTAGTCAACCAAGTGTACCTTTTGCCGTATGTTTTGTACCTCTACCTTTTTGCCTTTCCAACCTTAGTAAGGGTAATATTGACCTTTCACCCATGTTTTGTTGTTCAAGCTATCCCTAACAAGTCATTCCATTCATTTCTCATATTAGCCTAAGTTCCAAACACTCCATCATCTCTCTAAAAAGAACCTTGCTTATTCTTCAAGCCAAAAGGAGGACCTTTTAGCTTTGCAAGATCCCACCCCAAGATTCCTACTTTCTACTTCCCAAGCATAGGAAAGGGTAAGATTCATAGCTATTTAGTGTTTTTAGCTATCTTTTGGGTGTCTTTATCTAAGTTAGAACATTTCTTGTGTTTTGGCTTGTATAAGAAGTTGGTGGAGAAGAAGAACTCCAAGAGGAGGCTTAGGAGAGTTTAAAGGAAGAAGTTGTAGTCTACAAAGGTAACACATGTTATACAAAACCTATTTTATGCTTGCTATTGATATTTCTTGGCTTCTATTGATGTTCTTGATGTGATTTGTGAGATTTGATGCATGATCTTGTGATGATGCATGTTTAGAGCTTGTATTTAGGTTTCTTGAATGCCATTGCTTGGCTTATTCTTGGGTTCAAGTCATATCTTTGTTGTGTGTGAGATTTTGGGTGTTTTGGACTTGAACTTGGCTTTGTTGATGATTTTCCCCGAAGGGAAATTGTGGAGTACGAGTGTACCCCGCGGGCGGAACAGCGGGCAGTGGCCTACTCGCCGCCCCACCCGCGGGGAACGAGGTGGAATTGGGGTGTACCCCTCGGGCAGGCCCACGGGTGGGGTCCTACCCGTGGCCCCACCCGCGGGGAACATATGAGCGGGTTCCCCGTGATCATTTTCTTCTTGGTATTGATGTTTTGACCTTCCGTTGTTGAATTATCGAGCTCTTTGTGAGTCTTCTTGATGTTTTGTATGTCTAGAACGATGAGTTAGGAATCCATGTTAGGATTTGGTGTCTTGAATCGTGCTAAGTGTCCAACCTTGTGATTTGTTTGGCTAATATGAGTCTTGAAGGTTCGTTGGAACCATTTTGGTTTGTCCGTTTGATGATCATGCTAGTTTGATGTTGATATGCTAGTATGTATGGTTTGTTACTTCTTGTTGAGGATTGGCAACTCGTGTTGCCAATCATTTGGTGTTGAATTGTAGTCCATTGTTGTTGAGTATTGCCTCATGACTTTGTTGAAATCTCTTGATTGATTCTTATGGTGTTATCTTGTACAAATCGTTGTACTCTTTGTTGCTACTTGATTGGGGCTATTGATGAGCCTTAGTCTTCTTGATGATGATGACTGTGTGTGAATATGAATGAGATTGGTGGTTTTGTTACTCGAGCTTTGCTCATGAGATCGGTGGTATGTTATTATGAATTGAACAGTACCCTCGTGTACTTGAGATCGGTGGTATTCTGATTGGTGGTGTAGATTGGTGGGGGACGACGGTCCCAGACCGGGAAAAGGTTGGGCTCAGAAGTACAGGGTGGCACTCGGAGGTACAGGTTGGAACTGTGATAAGGCCGGGGGTAGCCATAAGGGTGGTACTAAGGTATAAGGTTGGAACATAAACTTGTCATTATGTGATTGATGCATTTCCTTGCTTATATGCATGTCTTTGATGAACTCGATCTTGTGAATGGTAGGTTGCATCTAGAGTTGTGTTGTCCTTGGTTGTTTGAGGTTTTGTTATCTTGTTGAGGTTGATGATCCTCGTTCTTGTTGAGAGTGTGATGAGTCTTTGATGTTGACCTTCTTCTGGTTTTAAAATGACTATATATTGTATTCCTCAGTCTCAAACGCTTTTGGCTATATCTATCTATATGTTATGCTATATAACGCGTATTGATGGGTTACCAGCTTTATTCGCCGACTGGGTGTTATCCCTTATCTTATACAGATTTTGAGTAGATGACGAGCGCGCTAGTGGAGACTCTTAGCTAGTGTAGTTTTATCTTTCTTTAGTTGATGATTGGGCATGTGAGCCGTAGACTCTGAATGTTGGATAAGTTGTTATGTTGTGGGCCAGTGAGCCTTAGATGTTGAACTCTGACTTAGACTTTGTGTAGCCTGTGCACCTACATTGTTTAGGTGTGGCATAATGTCCCCGTTTTAGACTTGCTTCCGCTTTTGGTTTAATGGATGATTAGATTGTTTATCTCTTTAAATTAAGTTTTAAAATGTTGGTAAAAACGGGGGTGTTACAAGGGGGTTTCGCCATCAACAAATCTGAGGAGACCTTGGCCGCGTAGGAAAGGGACGAGCTGAGTACGCCAGAATAAATAGTTTCAGGTCATTAGCTTGATAGAAATAAAATGATGGGCGGTGGATAGGGTGTTTGGGGTGGTGGCCGATGGTGGTGCGGCGGCGGTCACGGTTCTTTTCGAGGAGTTGGTCGACATAATAGGGTGGTGGGATAGGGAGAAAATTTAGGGATCTAACCTAAGGCTTAGCTGATACTAGATGAGAGATACAAATCTAATCAGTTACAGAGATAGAATTGTACAGTACTAAGATAGAAAGGAAAACATAAAGATCTCCTAGATAGTAGGTTAGTCACAGGAGACTAACTTATTCGGTCAAAGTACCTATGGGGTCCTTATACCATAGTGTTTTGTTCAATTTAGTCCTTTTACCTTAATTTTGTTCAATTTAGTCCATGTACTTTTAAAAGTGAAACAATTAAGGACAATAGCTTATATTTATGTATTTATTTTGAACATATTAATGTAATATATTGGTGATAAAAATAATTAATTTTAAATATTTATAAAATAATATATGAGTTGACATGTAAGTATGATGACGGGACAGATATAATGGCAGTGCCACATCAGCTATTATCCTTAATTGTTTCACTTTTAAAAATAGAGGGACTAATTTAAATTGAACAAAATTAAGGTAGAAGGACTAAATTGAACAAAATACTATAGTACAAGGACCTCATACATACTTTGACCAACTTATTCACCAAAAACTATAACAATAATAATATCTCAAATAATAATATCACTAATACACATTATTGCAGAGAGTGTTGTGATGCGTCTCCTTTCATGTAATATGGCCACATAAGGTTAATTGGTTTTCAAATTTTACTCTCAAAGGATGTAGACATTTTTACATGACGAAGAAAATAACATATCAAAATCTGCCACATAAAAGAGTAAATTTGAGAGTCGTCACATAAAAGAGTAAATTTGAGAGAGTAAGATTTAGTAAGAGTAGAGTTTTGAGAGTGAGTAGAATCGCATCAATCAAACCCGGAGCTTATTCTAAAGAATTATATAAAGCAACCGACACAAGTGCATATACTATTCTTGAACACCGACAGAAATAATATTTGTGAATTGTTTGATGGAAGCCAATATTGAAATGTTTGAAGCTCAAGTTCATATTCTGAAGCACGCTTACAACTACGTAAACTCCATGGTGCTTGCCACTGCAATTCAGCTAAATATCCCAGACATAATCCACACCCATGGAAAACCAATCACCATTCCCGACCTTGTTTCTGCACTCAAAATCCCTCCTCAGAAATCTAACGCCGTTTATCGCATCATGCGCTTGTTAACGCACAACGGCTTCTTTGATTCAACAAAGCTCAACGAAGAAGAAGAAGAAGATGGGTATGTTCTCACAGCTTCTTCAAGGCTACTCCTCAAAAGTCAGGTTCCAAATCTGTCCCCTTTCGCCCTATTCACGGTGGATCCAGTCATGTTAGCGCCATGGAAGGTTTTGGGGGACTGGTTTTCACGAAATGAGGAGTCCAGTGCGTTTGAGACCGCGCACGGGGCTCCTATGTGGGAGTTTTGCGACACGAATTCTAGGTTCAACAACGTTTTCAATGAGGCAATGGCTAGCGATTCCCAGATGATGAGGTTAGTTGCGAAAGATTGTGGGCAAGTGTTTGAAGGGTTGAGTACGTTGGTAGATGTGGGAGGCGGCACCGGAACCATAACTAAGCTCATCTTGGAGGCGTTTCCGAGCCTCAAATGCACTGTGCTTGATCTCCCTCATGTTGCTGCAAAACAACAGGATTGCCAAAATCTGCGATTTCTTGGTGGGGACATGTTTCACTCAATTCCTTCTGCTGATGCCATCATGTTAAAGGTACCAAATTTCTTTCATTTCATCATATACTTACTAACAAATTCAATTTTAATTCGTACTAAAATTTGGCAATAAATTAAAGCATATTATGCATAACTGGAGTGACGAGGACTGCCTGAAGATACTAAAGAAATGCAGAGAAGCCATCTCAGAGGACAATAAGAATGATGGAGTGAAGAAGGGGAAGGTGATCATCATCGACATGGTTTTGGGCGCAGAGAAAGATAATGAAGCAGAAGACATAACTGAATTGAAGCTGATGTTTGATGTTCTGATGATGGTTCTCCATTCTGGGAAGGAACGAACAGAGAAGGAATGGGAAAGACTGTTCATTCAATCTGGGTTCACTCACCATAAGATAACACCAATTTTTGGCCTCAGGTCCCTCATTGAGGTGTTTCCTTAGTATCCACTTTTCATCAAACACTATCATGTTTCAATTCTTATTATTGCTCTCTATCTCATCAATCTTCTATGTTTAGTTTCCTGCTGCCTGCTGTTTGTTCAGAATAACACTGTACTACTATAAATCAATTCCTAATTTTAAATTCTTCTTTTTCTTTTTAATGTCATAAATTTTACATTTTGATGGCTTAGTAAATTGGAGTGCCTTAACTTATGGATACTGGCAAATTATTGTGTGGACCATGGTCCACATAGTGTTATATGGACCATAATAAAATGCACATTTTTAATATATTAAATGTACATTATTTTTGTACTGTATATACATTATACAATATAATGTACACTCAGTACAAAAATAATGTATATCCCCTGATTACAATATATATTATTTTTGTGCTAAATATACATTATTTTACTGTATATAAATATGGTCTATACAATTTATATGGACCACGGTCCGCACAATAATGATTGATGGATACTCCTCCCAAATGCTCTGTCGGGCCGGGGTGTGGGGGGCTCTTAGGGTTGGGGTTCAGCCTTTTGGAATAATGATTGATGGATACTACATGAATATCACAACAACAATATTTCAAAGTTAAATATTAAATGTGTATGACCTGCTATATATATTGTGTGTTCGTTAATATACTGAATTTTATCTTTTAAAATAAGAGTTAATTCCAATAATGGTCCTCCGACTATATTGATTTTCTAAAATTAGTCCCTGACTTTTAATTTGGACATTTTACATCCCTTGACTTTCAACTTCTTTTCAATTGAGGTCCTTTCGTCAGATTACGGTAAAGTGGATTTTAAATGAAAGGGTAAAGTAGTCATTCCATTTGCCTAATGTATAATTCTTCGTATTTCTTTCTTGTATACGCGACTTCGGATATCGGATTCACTTAATTGCTTAGTCCCTAATGGAATTTTGTTCTTCCAATGGATTTTGGGATTAAGCAATTAAATGAATCTGATTTCCGGAATCGCGCATACAAGAGAGAAATACAAAGAATTATACATTAGGCATATGAAAAGACTACTTTACCCTTTCATTTAAAGTCTAATTTACCGTAATCTGACGAAAGGACCTCAATTGGAAAGAAATTGAAAGTCAAGGGACGTAAAGTGTCCAAATCAAAAGTCGAGGACTAATTTTGGAAAATCAATATAGTCGGAGGACCATTGCTGGAATTAACTCTTTAAAATAAGTAACCCAACTTCTAATTGACTTATGGCAAACTAGATAGGTTAAGTGTAGTATCAGTTCTAAGTGAAGATTTGATGGGCTAGACATTACATCAAAGTCTTTGAAAGCTAGCGGTTGAATTACTACACCAACTTATCATGAATAGCTGGCAGAGTAGTTACATAAACTAAGGTTATTGTACAAGAAAGTCTCTATTTGACTGAAATACATCAAAGTGCAATTAAGAGAGTAATTCAGTCTACATGGAATATTTAAGAAATTGCTTGTCTTTTAAGGATCAGAGTATTATATATTCTGCATGTTAGAGAGAGAATTATTATTGTTGTTGTTGTTGTTGTTGTTATTATCTTCAACCGCTAGCTTTCAAAGACTTTGGTGTAATGTCTAGCCCATTACACCAAAGTGTAATAGCTGGCAGAGTAGTTACATACACTAAGGTTATTGTACAAGAAAGTCTCTATTTGACTGAAGTACATCAAAGTGCAATTAAGACAGTAATTCAGTCTACATGGAATTTTTAAGAAATTGCTTGTCTTTTAAGGATCGAAGTATTATATATTCTGCAGGTTAGAGAGAGAATTATTGTTGTTGTTGTTGTTGTTGTTGTTATTATTATTATTATTATTATTATTATTATCATTACCCGTGCGATGCACAGAATGAATTTGTTAAAATATTTAGATCGATATACAATTATATAAATTTTAACATCGAATATTATATAATGCAATTGAGTTTGATCGATATGGATTTGTTAAAATATTTTAAGAATATTTGGAACGATATACAATTATATAAATTTTAACATCAAATATTATATAATGCAATTGAGTTATATCGATTGTATTTTCTGATGTTATCATTGCTTGAATTCGAGCAAATAATTGTCCAACTAATAACTCATGCTAAAACTTTACAGGGCGTTTGGTTGGAGGGGGGAATTATGTGGGAAAGGAATTGTAATTCCATGGGAGTTGAATTACTGGGAATTTAAATTCCAGTGTTTCTGTCGGCGTTTGGTTGGAGGGGGGAATTATGTGGGAAAGGAATTGTAATTCCATGGGAGTTGAATTACTGGGAATAAAGTGAGAATTTAAATTCCAGTGTTTGGTTGACAGAAATAGAATTACTGGGAATTTCAATTCCAACGTTTGGTATACATGGGAATTGAAAGGGAATAAGTAGTATAAAGTCAAACATGTCCATTATTGTTGTTAGACATTAATTTTAGGTTAAAAAATGAATGGGTAATTTTGACTCATCACTATCTTTTTTTCCCAAGAATTAAAATCCCAGGGGGGACATGAGATTTTAATTCCATGAAAATGGGACGGAATTGCAATTCCCTCCAACCAAACTACGGAATTTAATGGCCTTTGGAATTAACACACAAATGAGTTTCTTAGATTTATAAATCCAAGTATGTGTTTCTCGATCAATTTGAGAAACCCTAGTCTAGATTTATCAGTATGAGAAATCGGCCTGGATTTCTCAAATTAAAAAACCTTAAGTGATTTTTTCTCAAATTAAAAAACCCTTAAGTGAGTTTCTAAATTTCACAACTCACTCACGAGTATACTGTTTTTATTCATGTCTGGGTTTCTTAATATATTATTCGATAGATTTCACAAGTCAGCATGTAGTTATTTTTGGAAGAGCATAATTTCTCCTCTTATATAAAGGAGCTCAAGATCTCCTCTATTAAAAGTTTTCAATGTGGGATCATAATCCCACATAATTTACAAACGCCCTTTGTCTCTTTTTTTTTTTTTTTTTAATAACTAACAACTCTTATTGACGCCGAATAGCCCGGCGCATGGCGAAGCCACCAAGATCATACAAAAGAGCTAGTTTAGCCGAATCAGGCAAGGAAGACAAGCTATAAAAAATCTGCGAAGAGCTATGACGTAAGCCTATCGCCGCCAGAGCATCGGCCGCACGATTGGTTTCACGATAAATATGTCTGATAGACGAACCCCAGGCTTAAAGGCGCGATCGAATGAAGAGTATGGATTCTTTCAGTTTCCACGACAGTCGCGGCGATTGAGAAACCAGACTGGCTAGAGCTAATGAGTCCACTTCCACCTCGAGTGGCTTCCTGGCGAACACTTCACACCAGTGAATAGCAAGATGGAGTGCACAGGCTTCAGCCTCCAGCGCTGATGAAGCAGTATAGCGAAAGCAGAGCCCCACAAGAAGCTGGTCGCGCGAGTCTTTCAAGCACGCACACCCAGTCACGCCGCTTTCGGTGAAAACAGCGCCGGTGTTGAGTTTTAGCCTTCCCGTCGGCGGCGTCATCCACTTAACCCATAAAGTTATAGTTTTCAGTGGAGGTGCAAAACGTCCCACCAAACCAGCCTGAACAAGAGCTGCATCTTGGGGATTCATGCAACGAGTCGGCCGAGCCAAAGAGATTAGCACCATTTCTCGTTTGATTTTGGTGATGACTCCGGCGAACGAGAAAGGCGAATCATCATAAAGGCAATTGTTGAAAGCCTTCCACAGAAACTAGAGGATTAAAAATGGAGTTAACCGAGCAAAGATTTCCAGAGCCGATCCCGACGGTGCGAACAGCCACCAAGAATGACATTGTGCACGGAGAGACCTTGCAGGGGCAGGCAGCAAACCAAACAAGCCCCCAAAATGTCTCCAGACCTCTAGAGCTTTGTGACAGTTATGTAAGCAATGGTCGAGTGAAGCTAATTAACTTCGACAAAACGGACAGATTGATGGCAGGCAGAAACAGGGAGTAGACGGCAGAGCAGTTTCCACATGAAAATAGAGACCTTGGAGGGCAATCCACCGCCCCAAATGCATGACGAGGACAAACATCGTCCTTGCTTCGGTCGAAGAAGGTCATAGGCTGTTGAGAAAGAGAAATCCCCGTTATCATTCACAAAATCTAGTTGTTGCTGCATTCTTCTCCAAGTAATTAAAGGAGTCCCGCGTATGCGATCATCTGGATAGTTGGCACCCAAAAACTCGCTCCACAGCGAGCCCCCGCGCAAGAAATTAAATTGCAGCTTCGCCGAGAAAGCGTGATGTATAGTTGCCAGCGATCGAACTCCTAACCCGCCCTCTTCAGTTGGATAGCAGATTTTTCCCCAAGCCGTCCATTGCCTTTTTTTTATGTTCTTTCGAAGACCCCCAAAAAAATCTTGCGAACTTGGACTCCAGAGACTTCTCTGTCTGGCGGGGAAGCATAATCGACGCAGCCGTGTAGAGGGGAATCATAGCTAGTGCGTGCTTGATTAATGTCAAGCGGCCGCCCGGAGATAACAGCTTTTGTTGCCAGCCCAATAATTTTTTATCCACTTTTTCCAACAAATGTTGATGGTACAGTGGGCGATTCCTCCCTAAAAAAAGGTTCACACCCAAGTAACGAAAGGGAAAATTCGATCTCTGCATGCAAAGTATACGCGCCATGGTGGCAGCCCACTGATTGGAACAATGCCTGGAAGCAACGAAGAAGCTTTTCCGGAGGTTAATCTTTTGGCCAAAACCTTCCTGTTACTGCGTGAGAACCTCCACCAAGGCTTTTAGCGATCGCGATGCCCCATTAACAAATATAATTATGTCGTCGGTGAAAGCTAAGTGGGTGATCGTATGGCACCCCAAGGACGAAGAGTATGGATAGCAAACTAACACCCATCTTTAAAACGAGAGAGCGGGATAAAGCTTCCGAAACCATGATAAAAAGTAACGGTGATAAAGGGTCCCCTTGTTTGACACCTCGAGTGGGCTGGAAAAAACCACAACTGATCCCGTTTACCAAAATTGACAACCTCGTAGCTTCTAGGTTCTGCAATACAATATTGACAAAGGAGAGTGGAAAACCAAATTTGATCAAGACTGCACGAAGGCAATGCCATTCCACCCGGTCAAAAGCTTTCATCATGTCTAGTTTTATTATGACATTTGACCCCCAA